ACGGCTTTTAAGTGTAATTTGTCATCATTTTGAGAGCCACAAGCAAAAATTCATAGACTTCCATGAGTTAAAGTGACCTCACCCTTTAAAATTGACTCGTTTTCTTGTGCTATTCTTTTAGGCGGTAACTGAATATTTTGCGGTTTTCGCAATTAGTTTTTTGGCCTCATCTGTCTCCTCTGCTTTCTACAAAGCACTTTGTAAGTAATGTTTTTGAAAAGTGCTGTATAAATTACCCACTGACAGCTAAGTGTCTCTAAACCTAAGGTGTGTAACACGGTGGTTAAGGTGGCTGTTGTTATTCAAACATTAAAGCCTAGATACTAAAAGCCCTAATATACTGTTATACCCGCAGCAGTGCAGCAGCTGACAGCGAGTTGGGGCTTGCGGCGTTAACTGTCACGTTGTGTAGGAGCTCGGCCGCTGACAGATGCATTGCGAGGACACTTTGGCACAGAGGGCTAATTGCCAGAAGCTTGCCTCCAAAACAGTGGCTTCAAAGAAATATGTAACTTACATAAGAGAACAGCACTTTGGTGATCAATGCCCACACAGCCATGGGCATTCACAATCAATATGGAGTGAGTGAGGATGTGCCAGAGGAGAGGATGAATGAAGGAAGTGGAATGGATGTCAGCACAGATATATTATATCAGCAGAGGCATGTGAATGTAGTGACGGGGTGAATTTGTTTCAATAATTAGTGCTTCACAGAGGCTTCCCCCATTGTTAGCATTCTCTCTCATTCCGTTCCCTCTCTTAATCATTGCCTTTCTCTCACTTTTTTTTTTATTTATTTTTTTATCGCTCCCTCTCTTTCTCCCTTTTCATTTACTACTTTTTCATTCTTTCTCTAGGTGCTGTGTTGTGCGGCCAAGGCCGTTTCTTCCTCAGAACGCGCTCTTGAAAGGCTATTCATGGATTCTTCAATGAAACCCTATTACATTTGTGCGCGAGTGTGTGTTCGTGTGTGTGTGTGTGTGTGTGTGTGTGTGTGTGTGTGTGTGTGAGTGTGTGAGAGGGAGAGAGAGAGAGAGGGGGAAAGAGAGACGAAGAAAGAAAAATAAAGAGAGGGAAAGGTATTCCGGGGGCCGTGCTACAGTACCATCTGTATGCAAATCTCCTCAGACTTTGGTAAACTTTGATCAAACACTAAGGCCTCCTTTTCTCTCCCTTTCCCTCCCTCCCTTCCTCCCTCTACTGCCTCCCTGTCCGCTATGTGCTCTGCAATTACTGTAGCTCCACAGCTCTTTGTCAGGCCTGCATATTAGGAACTGTCCCCCCCCCCCCTCCTTACACACACACGCACACACACACATGTTTTCTGCCCCAATACCCCTTGATACCCTCCTTGTATCGGGCTCTCCTTTTCTACCTACCACAACCCCAACACACACCATTTCTGAGCACCTGCGACTACGCTGGACCCCACAACAGATGGTGACATCCCCCTCACACTCACTCACTGACACACACACACACACACACACACACACACACACACACACACACACACACACACACACACACATACACACATAGTTAGCGGGGCTCTTGGCAAACAGAGCCCACTGTGGCGCATGGGTGATGGGCATGCCTTTGTGGAGAGGTTGGGCACATTGCAGGCACACACACACACACTTGTGTCGGGACACACACATACACAGCAGCCATTGTTTCCTCCATATGGGAAGGTTAACATGTTGAATACAGATCCGGTGTCCAACAGGACAATGGAAATGTTGTGGCAAGTGTTGTCAATTAATGTCGGCGGTAATAAAGATCTCAGAACAGATGACAGACGCACAAACAAACAGGAAAAACACAAACATGCCACATTATCTCCTGTGTCGCTTTAATATACATCGGTCAGTGGGGTGTAAGCCCATTAGAGTTGTGTCGTGTGTGTGTATATGTGTGCGTGTGCGTGTGTGTGTGTGTGTGTGTGTGTCTGGGCAGCTCCAGCCAGGCACTCAGTGGGCAGAAGGATAATGGGTATTAATCAGGGAAAAGCCACGGCCTTATGTCTGTTTAACGGAGGAGATGGCTACTCCCTGAACGTCAGCTCCTCTCTAAAACAATTAGCCTCATTTCAGAAAGTAGATGGATTCACTGTATGCGAGTGTGTGTGTGTGTGTGTGTTGGCGGTCTGAAGAGGAGGCATGTAAGGCAGCGTGTGTGTGCAAAGCTGCGAGGTGTACGATTTTCTGTTTGTTTAAGATGGGGAGAGTGGGCGGGAAATGTGGCACTGGGCACTGTTACAGTGTGTTTGAACAATACTGCACATAGGCTTAGTGTGTTGGGTTTCTTATTAAATGTCACACACAATCTTACCATCTGAAGCAAACTGCCTTTGTTGGCCGTCATATGTTGCCCCCCCCCCCCCCCCCTTTTTTTTTTTTTTTTTTTCTGGGGGATGTTTTTGTCCCTGAACTTGTTTTCATCCTATAACCAAGCAGGATAAGCCATTAGGCAGATGGTAAGGGGAAGTCCCATGAGAGGACACGCACACACACAAGTGCACGCACACACACACACAAAGACACGACAGACACACACACACACACACATGCACAGTAAGTGTGCACAAAAACACCAGACCCACCAGACCCCTGTTATGTAATCTACCAGTCCCACTCCCCCACCGAGCGACTCAGTCTTGAGCTGTCTCAACTCCAAAACAAAGTCATCAGTCTTCATATAGCCCTGTCTCTTACACAGTGCACATACCGCTGGATCATTTGGGTCCAGCTCTTGTGGATGAAGGGAGTCTTGAGCAGTTCAATGTGAAGAGCGAGGCACTGAAATAGGAAAAGATTGGAGTGTTTGATTCATCTTGTGGTGCTGTAAAGCATCTGCTAAGGAGAAGAAAGGGCCACGCTCTCATATGGTGCCGTGCAGCCATTGCTTTCTTAGGTTAAAAAAAAAAAAAGGATTAATCAAAGTCATAAACAATGTGTATTTTTATGTCCTGTTAATTCCCTTCTCGGCAAGTCTCTTTCTCTTTCCCTCTGTGAACACGCCGTCGTGCTGAATGGCTACTCAGACCGTGGCAACAGATTTCTCTTTCAGCCATCTCCAGAGAACGGCTGGCCAGACTCCTGAGTGGCACATATTTGGGCTAAGGCCCGGCACTGGAGTCGCAGAGGGAAAGGGAGGAGAGAGAGAGAGAGAGAGAGAGGGGAGGAGGTGAGGTGAGGGGAGGAGGAGGAGGCCAGAGCCATGTGGCTGATGTTGGTAAACAGTATCCAGCCTTGTCCTGGCATCGTGGCAGCCAGCGCACAACGCCGGAGATATCAGGCGCCTGGGCCACACACAGACCGGGACAAAAGGTAGACACACATACAGACATTTGCATTCATACGCACACACACACACACACACACACTCACTCACATGCAGGCAGAAATACACAGACTACTAACAGACAAATAAAAGACTCACTCTCGGTGTCTGCCACTCAGCAGCTGCTCCAGTTTCCATGGCAACAGCCTGAACAATGTAGTAGGAAGAACTGTGTTGGTGAGAGAGGGAAATAGAGAGAGGCGTGTGTGTGTGTGTCTGTGTGTGTGTGTGTGTGGGGATGTGTGTGCTCCAGTGCACTTGAAATGTGTGTGTGTGTAGGTGTGTGTGTGTGTGTGTGTGTGTGAGTGTGTGGGTGGGTGGGTGGGTGTGAGAGGCTATAGAGGGGGAGGTAGCCGCAGGGTGCTGAGACAGAGAGGATTCAGAAGACACTCTCTTTATTTCTTTGTCAGGATGAGTCTTTGAAAGCAGCAAAACAAATATGGAAATGTAGAGGAAAATAACCGGGGAGAGAGGCAGAGAGGAAAGGGTTAAAGGTAATGTTGATGCAGTTTTTCAGTGACAACAAAAGATCCACAAAGACAAAGGTGAGGATTTTATGATGTCTATTTATTTTTCAAAATGAGGTATTTCAAAGTGCTATGAGTTGCAGCACTAAATGTACATTTTAAAAATGAAAAAAACAAACATCTTATATCCGTTTACCCAGTTCTATGCACCCGATAGTTACAAATATAGACAAAAGAGGAAGAAAGAAAAAGGCCAGGTACATGAGGATAGAACACATTTGCTGTACAAAAGAATTATTTGAGATAGAAGAAAAAAAACAAATGACGAGATAAAGTGATATCTACCGAGAACTCATTTTCATACGAAAATATAAGTATCAAATTTAGTATGTATCAGGTTCACACTAAAAGCATAAAGGTGTGTAGAATTAGTAATATGATATAATACAAAGGAAAAGAAGAAAAAAACAATATATTGTTATTTTACAAAGTTTCATGACGCTCAAAAATCGAGGCCTTACAGTACTTTTAAAGGTATATAAACTTCCAGTCTAGTTATTGGCAGCTTCCTGACATGTATAAAAAAAAAACCAAGGACAAAAATGTATTACAAAACAAGGCAGATCTGAGTGTATTTTGTCTGTACACTATTGTTATATACAAAAGTGTCGGCTAGCAAGGTGCACAGTTACACATCCACTGACTTGGTTTGAGCACCAGTGTGAGAGGAGTGAGAGTAAGAGAACCTGTAGTGGCATTGATTTATGTGACCCATAAGGCCTCAGTCGTCATAGTCTCTTCAGTTTTGCAGTGGTGAAGGCAAAGTAAATGTGCACTGCTTCTTGTACGTGAACTCTCCAAGCAAAGTGCCCTCTAACACCTGTCCCTGTGGGAATCACCTGATTCCAGGCTGGTGTCACAGTGAGTACAAAAAAACAAAAAAACAAAAACAAAAAACAAGATACAAATAGAAATGATATAAAAACCAGAGGAAGGGAAGACCAAAAAAAAGTGTGTCCTCTCTCCTTCCTCAATCTTTTTCTCTTTTTTATCTTTCCTCGATGTGACTGGATTGAAAAAGTAAACCCTAAACATTCTTAACGTCAACAAATGTGCAAAAAAAGTGGCGGCAGTGAAAGTCCGAGCATCCCTCCAGCAAACCCCCTCCCCCCCAACCCACCCCGCCTCCTCCAGGTGTGTGTCGGCATCCGAAGATGAACGTCCTCTGAGATATTGTGTTTGTGTGTGCACATGTACAACAGATATTCAGGCCTATGTGTCTGTGCTGAAGTGTAAAGGCCTATGTGTGTGTGTGTGTGTGTGTGTATCTAATTCAGACTGACTGAGTTGAGACAGGAGGGGGTCATCCAGGGTATATGTGAGTGTTTCTGTGTTGTAGCGGTTGTCTGTTAGCGAGTCCTTGCCTGCTCCAGCCTGCGCATCAGCTGCTGCCTGCGGGCCTGGAGCCTGTCCTTCTCCTGCTGGAGCCTCATCTCCTCAGTTTCCAGCGAGCTCACATACTCGGTGGCCTTCTTCAGGATCAGCACCTTCGCCGCCTTCTCGTTGTGCGCCAGCTCCGGCACGTGGTCGCGCAGCGTCAGGAAGCTGGAGCGCAGGTCGTTGCGGCGCTGGCGCTCCAGGATGTTGTGGTTACGCCGGCGCTCGCTGTCCTCTGAGTCGGAGCTGCCACGTGGGCTGCTGTCTCCGCTGGCGCTGCGCTTGCTGCGCGCCCCTGATGTGCTGGTGACTGAGCTGCAGGATGTGGAGGAAGATGAGGAGGATGAGGAGATGGTTCTGGTGGGATGTCGTGGGCCTTCTGATGTTTTCTGCTTCTTTGGAGGTGGCGCCGGATCATCGTCTGAAGCGTACGGCGATGGGGCTGCGTAGTTGTGCTGCTGCTGGTGGACCGAGCTCCTCTTCAGGATCAGCTCTTGAGGGGCTCGGCTGACGAACCGGCTCACCACGCCGGACCCCGAGACCACTCCTCTTCCGTCTTGACTCTTGGGGTGCACGGAGATGGTGACGGTGCCTGTCGCCATGGGTGACGCCTTGTTGATTGTGGAGCGCCTCTTCTCTACCGTAACCACATCAATCTCCTCCTCTTCTTCCTCCTCATCCTCATCCTCGTCCTCCTCCTCCTCCTCCTCCTCCTCGTCATCCTCTGCTTCATCGTCGTCTTCCTCTTCTGGGAAAAGAAAACAGAATGTGAGTGACTTAATCGCTCTGACACACAAGCATTCCCGCTATGTCACCAATGTGTACCAGCAGGTGACAGGTATGTTCGTGAGGGTGTATATATGTGAGTGAGATCAAGAGAGAGTGTGTGTGGGAATGAGCGCGTTGCTCAACACCGTTTGCATAAGCAGAAACCTCTTAATGCTTAGTGTCAGTCACTCCTCAACTAATCTACTCTGCAGGCGTTGACACGTTCAGTTTCAGTGCTGAGCAGACAGGCTGGATTTCTGCCTTTCATTCTCTCGCTCCCTCCCTCAAAACTTCTCCTAATCTCCTCTGGTGAGACGAGACGGTTTTTAGTCTGATGCTTTCAGTCTATCAGCGCAGCTCCAGTCACGCTGACGGTGTGCGATAGCAGCAGAAGCATTAGGAACTTTACCTTAACTTTGACCTCTGATGAAGTTAAAAATCTTTTTTTTTTTTTCTTTTCTTTTTTTCTTCTTCTAGCTGAGCTCCTCATCTTAATACCTGTGCTGAAATCGAGCTGAGCAGGCTGAGTCTTAACACCGACTGGCTGCCTTTTGAAGATGAGAGGAAGTGGCCCGTCATGAGGCAGGAGGGAGTGTGTGAGGCCCAGTTAAAATGCCTTTTGTGATAATGGCTCTCATTATCAGCTCAGGAGCATCTGAAGAGTGTGGCATTTTACAGCTTACAGTAACCCACTTCAGACACTGCTGCACCAGGATGCTGTCTCAACACACACTGAACACACACACACACACACACACACACACACACACACACACTGTGCACACACACACACACACACACACACACACACACACACACACACACCCACACACACACACACACACACACACACACAGAGAGGCTGGTGCTGCCATCAAAACAAAGCCTGGCACAGCTGGGTGGATGAGGGGGCGTGGCTGGCTTTTGCCACATGTGAGGCTGGGATTTAGCTTGTTTGGTGTTTCTCCTATCTGAACGGAGCAGCTCATTTATTGGGGGTTGGGAGGAGTGCAAATAGGAAGAACGCACAATCTTTGTGTGTGTGAATAAATAATAAATACAAATATTGACATTAATAATTGAAGATATTAGTCTTATTTCTATCTCCCTGCCACTGCCTTGTATCTGTACACCTGATTTTTGAAGTGGTGGGTGTCCCTTGTTCCCATGCATGACAGGGATAAACCCACATTGTAGCCTTTAAAGTCTGTGTCGCTTTGATGACAAAGTAAAGAACGCGTGGATAACACAGGAGGACGCGTCTTAACGCTGCGAGCGGCGGAAGCGCATTGGAGCGGTACTGTGCGCAGGGTGGTGGGGCGGCGGGCGATCGGATCACCGCCCTTTTTTTTCCCTTTTTTTTTTTTAAGCCTCGGAGCTGGAGCGGCGCCAGGGAGACAGCTGTCGAGATGGAGCGCTTGTTCAAAGCTGTCACCCCCCGAAAAGAAGCAGCCAGGGCCCTCCTCCGTCCTCTTTTCTTCGCCGTGGAGGAGGTGTTTGGCAAGGCCGGCTGAGTCTGCCCTCTGTGCCAAGCTGGGGGCCTTTGTACTACTGTTTCACAGCGAAAACACGCTGATAAGGACTCGTGAGTGTTTGTTTAGGGAACTCGTGGGCAGTCATAAAAGGCAGAGATGAAGTCTTAGAGCGATTAAATACACACAGCGCTCATTTCCGAATCTAAACACAACAACTTCCTATTTCATTTCTCTTAGGAGGACAGGAAACAGGACTCTGCCAATCTGCTATCCTTCCTTGTGCCATTATAGTGCAACTCCTGTTCTCTTTCCGGGGGCTAATTTTTAGTGCCGAGCTGAACTCACACTGCAGTTTGTACAGACTGTCTAAAGTAAGTGCCAGTTTCTCACCCACTGTGCGCAAATTGTCCATTAATCCATGCGTAATGAAAGCTTTCACGGCGCCGTGAACCAGACACTTTATCAGCTCGTCGCGTTATTGAACACCTTTTCATCCCCCCTCCTCCTACAACCTGGTACTAGTGCAGTTAGTGTGTGTGTGTGTGTGGTGTCTTTTTGTTTGGCTCAGATGTCAACTGAGTTCAGTAAGGCACACAATTCCCCATTTTACTGCCATCTGCCGGATGAAGAGCCTTCTGATTACATAAACCTCGTTCACTGTGTCACTACTATACACTGTGTGTGTGTGTGTGTGTGTGTGTGTTTGTGTGTTCGCTGTGTGTGTGTGTGGAATGTAACGAGGTAATCCGATTCTGGGCCAGTCATATGAACAAGCTCCAGTCACACCAATTAGGTAGGCGACTGGGCTTATAATAACAATGATAATAATAATGATAGTGTGATATTTCAGTGGCGGAGGTTTTCTTCTCATCAGATTTTCTTTAAATAAAAACAGAAACAAAGGCTTTTAGCGCATCAGATTCAGATTCTTACCGGAGTCACTGGAAGCGCTCCCGTGGTTTGTGGATGTGTTAACGTTCCCGGATGAGTCTCTGCTGCCGTTCTTCTTGTTGACCGGGAAGGGGAACACTACCGTGGGGTCCACACACTCTGAAACCGAGCTGCGGCTCACCGCCTCCGGCGTCTTGACACACACGTTCCTGCCGCCCGCCGTGGCCGTGGAAATAGCCTTGCCGAGTTTCTCCGTGACCACCCGCTCCAGCTTTTCCCTGGCGGAGAAGCCACTCCACATACAGTCCTGGATAATGATGCTGTTGGGGTTAGTATCCAAAGCGGAGCCGAACAGGTCCCCATCGTCGGAAGCCCCCCAGATATCATCCTCTGGCAGGAGCAGCAGCTCGGAAGCCCAGTCCAGAGGGTCCCCTAAGCCGAAGCTCAGAGGGTCTGTTTCCGGGGAGGCAGTCGCTGGCTCCCCCGGTAGCGCAGCTCGGCTCGGGGAGAGGGGAGGAGTGGGCAACAACTCGAATTTCTTCCAGATGTCCTCCCCCGGTGGCGCAGAGTCGGGACCACAGAAGTAGAAGTCCTCATCCGGATAGAAACACGGTTGTAAGGAGTCAAACTCCAAATCGGAGTTTTTACTTATGATCGGCATTCTATCCCACAATCGAAAAACCTGTAAAGGAACAAAAGATACTTTAGTCTCCAATGTGGAAGAGCGTCTCTTCCCCATTCCCCTCTCTCCTCTATCACACCTGAAAACTGCGCTGCAGAAAGAGCGTGAGTCAAAGCCCACACACAGACACACAGTCTACTCCACTAAATTCCACACTCGCTTCTCTTGTGGGGTTTAAAAAACCGCACAAATCTCACAGGAGAATGTGCGTAAATGTGACCGTGACGCACAAACTCTGCTAAAAGGACGCATCGGCTCACCACACGCCAAACACGCCAGGAAATGTGATTAGGACGCAAAAAAAAAGCATGTTCACAGAAAAATAATAAATGGAATAACAACAATCAAATCTGCTGGAGACAACGTTTTGCGTGGAAAAATGTAAGGAAAGTAATAACACGTTTCCATATTTAACCGCAGGAATGAGAAGATGCTCACCTCGTCCTGACTTGGGATGATATGATGTGCGAACCAATTTTTCTCGTCTCTTGCAGTCAGTAATACAGACACCAGATTTGGAGCAGTCATCTACTTTGGGAGCACAGACAGTCCTCTGACACACATTGTGGCTGGCTGCAGAGTGTTATACACTCAGCTCTGAGGGAGGAAAACAGACTCCTCCCTCCCAGGCTGAGGGAGGGAGGAGTGGTACAGACGGGCTATGGGGTTTGATGCGGCGCGGGAGACAGGCTGGCTGCGAGCTCTCTTTCAAGGTGAATCGAGAAAATAGCCTAAACACTCCAAGAAAGAACGAAAGCAAGGAGAAGAAGAAGAAGAAAAAAAAGCAAGGGGGTTAAAAAAAAAAAAAAAAAAAAAAAAAAAAGGAAAGGGAGAAAGAGGGAAACAACGAAAGAAAAACAAAGTAAGAAAGGAGGAATATGTATTATTGATAGCCTCAGGCCAACTGTCTTTTCTCTCCCCCTCCTTCCATCTCTCCACTGGGATGTCAAACCCAGGATCAGCTATGAACCAGTCGAAGGAGCCCAGGAGCTGTTAGTGATTTGATGTCTTGTTCAGATTGCTCAAGGGCACTGCAGCAGGCTGGATGCTGCTGCTGGCTAGTGTTTCTCAACCATCAACAGATCTACAGACAAACATGACACTCAAATATACATTTTCTTATCAAGATATTAATAAACAAAAATGATGATGCTTGAAATCACAGTCTCTGACGCTTAATGAGTTCAAATATGATAAAGTCATAATGGTTTTGTGGTAAAATAATTAAAAAAAAATCATAATACAATTGTATACATCTATAAATGGAATTTGTGAATTGATCATCAGTGCACTTTCTTATGTGAGTGTGGAGATATGCTCCTATACACATGAAACCCTCCTGCCCTGCTCCCGCTCCCCTGTAGAGCTCTGAATATCATTTTCTCTTTTGTCTGAGGGCCAGCAGACGCAGCATCCCAGGATGGCAGGTTCACTGCGCCCTCACACGGACACACAAGGAACAGCAGCACACACAAGCGCACCAACAACAACCACCAAGCCGAGCGAGCGACCCAGACAAAGACAAAAAAAAACAAAAAAAAAACAGTGGGATTTTATTTTTCTTCCCCATCCGAAATGAAAGGGGGAGAGAGAGAGAGAGAGAGAAAAAAAAATGCCACTTGGAAAAAAAAATAACAAACTCCTCTTCGGCTATAAGGAGCAGCATTTCCTCAGACAATAGGCAGCGGAGGACCGGGCAGTTTTCAGCTGTCTCCGGAATAAGACAGGATCATGAGAGGAGCGTGTTACGTAACCGCAAGCGGTGGTTGTAGCCTGGAGTCATTCCCATTCCCTTTTCTAATGACAGCTTAGGAGGAATGGCGCATCTGTAATTATGCGCACAGGCACAGGCGCGCGCGCACACACCCACACACACACATACACACACACTGTCCTCCTCCCCCTGATATTGACTTATTCAGGGAAAACGTTTACAAAATGGATTCCAGTTGAACGCCAGCTGTGAGCAGGGAGGATGACAGTGTCCAGTTATTTCCAGCCAAACAATGGCAGATGATAAAAGCAGCTATTATTATATTTAAGATGCACCTGCAGGAAAAATGATAATAGACTAATTTCATTTCTTTGTTGGCTTATTTCAACACTTGACAAAATCCATTCACCTATGACGATTTCGATTATAAAGTGAGTAAATTCAGGAACACAGGACTGAGTAACAAAACTACTTAATACCACAAAACAAACATACACACATTAAACATTCTTTTAGTCCCTGCTCTGTAGAAATATTGGGATTTTTTTTGAAGTCTTGGTGGGGGTTGAGTTCAAACAACTATGACCAGCGAAAAGTGAGAATGTGCAGCTGTTTTTGTCCGCAGAGTAGGAATAACAGGGAGTTTCCTGGGACTTTCAAGCCAGCTCCCAGGAACTGCGGAGATGGTTTGGGAGTCAGAAACTCCCCACAGGCTCTTGTCCGTCCTCTCTTTTGCTTTTTTTTTTGCTTTTTTTTTTTTTTTTAAATGTACTGTTCAGCTCTGACCCTCCAGCAGCAGCAGCAGCAGCAGCAGCTTCCTCTGCTGTGAAACAGGGCAGAGAGTGGGAGTGAGAACAGAAGGGAAAGTTGTTTTTTTTTTTGTCCAGTGCAGATTGGGTGAGGACAGGAAACTGTGTACTGCTGCTTGTTTTCTAGAGTTAACACTGGAGAAATAAGCAGATGGATGGGGGGGGGGGTTGGTTGTCTTTATGCTGTTGGAGAGTGTCTTGGCATAGAGAGGGAAAGACAATGATGAATGCGATTCACGTTCACTCACTGGTTTGTGCTGAAATTGCCCAGATGTTGGTGTGTGATCATTGTATCTGGTTATTGTTGATTTGCATTCATATCAAGTCAGACTCTTCCATCTTCCTACACCCACACACACCCGCATGAAAAACACACACTCCCTAGTTGTCTACAGCTAATTAGATCTGTATTATTATTGCTCTCTATATGTAGCTAATGAAACTGTCTCCCTCATTAAGACATTAAGACCCCCTGCCCTCAACGTGACAACCTGTGGATGAATAAAGTCCATAAAAATAGAGACATACAGATTTAAAAAAAAAAAGAAAAAAGAAAGAAAAAAGAAAAAGCAGACTTGTCAGAGGAAGAAGAACGCTGGCGTCTTTGCCTGTTGTTTTTATGACAGTTATGGCATGCCCGCTCTCCCTCCCACCATTCACCACTGGACCGGGACATGGATGGTTAAGCAATTAGGCCAGTTTTGATAAAAGATTCATAAGTCACCCCAGTGGATAGTGCAAAGACAAGCATTTTGTGAGTAAAATCTGCTGCGGTAACATCAGGACTGACTGTGTTCAGGTCGGAGAGCGTGCACATCACATCAGTAATTGAATTGCGTAGTGTGTGTGTGTTTGTGTGTGTGTGTGTGTGTGTATAGGTTCTTACTGATGCTTGTTTGGTCATAGCTGACCTGAATAAGCAACAGCAGGTGTGTACAGTCATCACGTCACCTCAGTGAGAGTACATCATCAATTTCCCCTACGCGATCTATCTATCTTCATACTGACTTCCAGTCTTCTCTGTTTGTGGTATGAAAACAGATGCAAAGTCTATTAAATAGCAAATACAGTTGTATTGAAGCTCTGTATTGTGCTGTGATTCCACAAAGTGCTTCATCTGGGCAGCTTTTTTACCTTGGTGACCTGAGTGGAGAAAAAACAAAACTATTAATCCTGCAGCAGCACCACATGGAAGTGTGTTTACAGTGTGTAAGTGAATTTATACCTCTGCCAAGGAGGTCATGTTTTCACCCGTGTCTGTCTGTTTGTTTATTTGTCAGCTGGATTATGCTGAAAAGTGGGTGGAGGGATGAGTCGAGAGCTGGGGGAGAAACTATTCAATTTTGCTCTGGATCCGATTAAAGGGGCAGATCCAGGAATTTATTTATCACTTTCCTTAACATTTTAGTCATTTTCTCAGGAAATGATGCATGGATCTCGACATAGATCAGACATCTTCATGGTGTTGAGATCTTGGACTTTGTAGAATTTGGTGGGAATGTTTGGCTCTGGTGGATGCGCTCTACTGAGTGTCATCTAGTTAAGTGTTTAGAAGCTGTTCCATCCATTTAGAAAGTTCTCTTCTCCAGAGTAACTAGACTGAATGCAGCGGCAGAACTGTTTTAAATTTTCAAATTTAGTTTCTCACACATGAACTTGACTTCTTATATTACATAACAAAGGAAGAACTTTGTCTTCTGTCCCAAGCTTTACAAATAAAACCTGCCACTGCCAATATATATGATTCAAAATTTATGATGCTGTGATAATATACTATATGTTAAAGAAGAATCTTGTGTTTTCATGTAGTCAGAAACTATATGCAACACGTTTTGTTTTGTTTTTAATTATTGGGTAAAAGCTTTTCCATAATTCTGGTATTTCCACGTTTATTTTCAAGTGCTTGAATAATCCAGGTCTATTTAGAACAAGCAAGGGTCAAACATTTTCATTTTCATAACTATAAATCCAGCACCTTCATACGTGATCCAATTCCGCACGTGAACCTGTAAAAGACAACATCAGCCTGTTACCCAGCTCACAGTCTCCTACGGCAGCTCAGAGCGCTCTGCACAGCGCACACTCGGCCTGCATAAAGCATTAAGTGTCCTCTTCTTTAATCATGTCGAGTCAGATTCCACAGTGGCGTCTTCCCCTCAAACAAACCAACTCCAACAAGAGGCCGTGTTTGTCCACGATCCACGTAATTACATTTCAGCTCCAGCGAAACCCTCCAACCCCAAGTAGTTGGGAGCCGATACCCCCCACCCCTTCCTCACCCCTTTCACCTTCACCTCACCCCCAAACTAAAACAGACGCAGAGAGCAACTTATCATAAGCGTCAGTCCGACTTTTACACATATTTTTTTTTACATAGTCTTTTTTTTTCTTTTGAGCTCTTACCATTTGCCTGATGCATGTAACTCCGTCTACAGTGTTTATCCTCTCAGTTATTAAAATATTTTCAAAAGTGACCTAGTATATGGTTTTCTGGGATTGGCCTTGCCACAAATTTCACTTATAGTTTTTATATATCGGGTGGGATGCCTGGATGTTGTAGTCGATTCTCTTTTTGATTTACTGTCTTGCTCAGTAGCACTCTTCTAAAGTTAGACGGTGATATCTGTTTTGAATCACGCTCTTACTGTGCAGAATCTGACTATGCATGAGCCTCAGCTGATGATTCAGGTAAAAAGAAGCTCTTTATTTTGAAGAGATGACCTCATCTAGATTTTGCAAGAGACTGAGCCATGTAGAGAAAAGCAGGAGCGAGTTGCAACAAAGCCCTGAGGAATTTGCTTGAGATCTTATTAGCAATTCCTCAGCGAACACAACCCCAGCAAAAAACCATTTTTTTTCAATGATTATAAAGTGATTTCGAATATAAACCGATATGACAAATATGCCCAGAAAGAAAAAGTTTGTTTTCCCACGTCTATTTTTGGGGGACATTTTCCCATCAAGTCTATTTCAGGAAGCGTAAACTTGTCGAGGAAGAATTTTGGCCTTTTGATATTGGATTTTGAGAGTGCCAGAAGTGTGCCTATGTGAATCAAGTCGGGGTCTGTCTTGTTA